GTCAAGAAATAGGACAGGCCCTTACATGCGTTTCTTTCGGTGTATCGACACTTAGACAGGTGCTGCTGCTGCTGCTGCTGCTGCTGCTGATGTTTCTGTCGTTGTTGTTGCTGCTGCTTTTGTTGCTGCTACTGCTTCTGCCTTCGTTGGAGCTTCCGCTGCTGCGTTTGCTTTTTCCCACCTTTTCTGCTGTCTTTGTTGTTAATGCTGTTGTTGTTGCTGCTGCTGCTGTTGGCTAGGGATGACTGCTCTTGCTGCTGCTGCTGCTGCTGCTTGCATGTGTGTCTTTTATAGTTAGAAGGAAACAACAGCAAAGAAAGGACAGAATATCTAAATCACTTTAAAGGTGGGGCTGCATGCGTTGTGTCCTCCCTTCTTGATTTCTTTTTCTTATAAAAAGTGCATACACATAGATTCAAATACTTGCTGCTGCTGCTGCTGCTGTTGCTGCTGCTGCTGCTGCTGCTGCTGCAGAGTGCGTGTTAAGCAATGTGAGTTATCTCGCGACGCATTCGCGAGATATTCGTCATTTGGGCAGCACAGCGATGGAGCTCTGCTATCTAGGTAAGTCGAGGGTTTAGGGTTTAGGGTTTAGGGTTTAGGGTTTAGGGTTTAAGCCTGCTGCTGAAGTTTGCTTCTCCCCGTGCTCAAGGGGTTGCTGTTCTAGGTGCTGCTATGGCTGTTGCGTCAAGTGCTGCAATGCTTGCTGCTGCTGCTGCTGCTGCTGCTGCTGCTGTGTCTGCAGCTGCAGGGCGTCTGGACTGTATCGCTACTTTCGGCCCCAAAGAATGGGTAAGAAGACTGTTAAAGGCTCTTTGCCTCTCCCCTCCAAGGGTTTAGGGTTTAGGGTTTAGGGTTTAGGGTTTAGGGTTTGCAGAGCAGCAGATATGATGTATTGCAGCTTAGCTGCACGTACACCTGGCGTGCATGCGTCTGTTTGTTTTTGTTTGTTTGTTCTCTTATAAAGTCTTATTAACGATGATTAGGGTTTATACAAACACGCCTAAACCCTAAACCCTAAACCCTCCATTATTTGTTGAGGGTTTGCTGCTGCTGTTTCCTACAGGACCTTGCTGCTGGTTGTCTTATATTGGAAGAAGCGGGAGCCGTCTGCAGCGACATGCAAGGCAACCAACCGGTAAGCAGCAACGGCAGCAGCAGCAGCAGCAGCAGCAGCAGCAGGCTCCAACTGTGGCAGTGGCTTGTGTGTTGTGTAGCGTTCCCTTCCTTCCCTTTTTGCGTTGCATTTATAATTGAATATATATATTTTATTATTTTATTTTATTTATTTATTTATTTATTTATTTATTTTATTTATTTTGTTTGTTGTGTTGCTGTGTTCTGCAGCTGGTTCTATCTAAGCACCAAGTCTTAGCAGCAGCAACACCGCAGCTATTAGCTGTATGTGTGCAGCATCTAAAAGCTCCCTAGACACCTGAATATAATTATATATATTCTCTTTGTTAATTAAATATTTTATTCTTTTATTATATCTTATTAATTATACTAACAAGGAGGCAAACATATACATAAATGGCCTCCCTATTTTAATCCTTGGCTCCCTCTTTTATTCATTAACACTATACAACGCATTGTCTAAGCTTTTCTTTCTTTTAATAATATGCTGATTTATTCCGCATGCATGCATGCATGCATGCATGCATGCGTAGATGCCCTGTGGTTAACAGTTGCTGCAGTAACATCGAGTAGAAAGATTAATCGATTTCTTTGCATGCACTTTAAAGCCCCAAAAACGTCAACATGTGAACAGCTAGAGGCACTAAGTTAACTGCATGCGAAGACGTTAGCAAGAAGACACCGAGAGATTGAAGTTTAGGGTTTAGGGTTTAGGGTTTAGGGTTAAGAGGGGAACAAGGTATGAAGGCGTTAGATGTACCTAGATGCATGCACAGTTAACATTAGAGAGGATTCTCTTGCTTTGTGTGTAAACTAACTCGTTAGGCTTAGAGGATGTTATATGTGCCAGTCTGCCTACACTGCGGTGTACGGGCAGCTAAGGGCTTATACCCCTATCTCCCTCATCACTTCCAACTCCATTTATACATTTGCCTGCCTATACACCCCAATGCTAGATTTAATTAGGAGGAAACGCCGTAAATATTGTGTGATCTGCGGTGTCTCGGTGGCGACGGCTGCAGCACGGCATGTGCAGGTCCGAGTAACCCGTAAGAGGTGGTGTTATAAGGAAAAAAATTAAATACCCTTTTACTTTTTAATTGACATTCTTATGTTAATTATAATTTATGCTAGGGAAAGCTGGGAAAGATCGTAGGCTACACAGGTGAGACGAAGTAACGACTAGCTGCAGCAATCGCGGATGGGTGTTCAGATTGAAAGAGAATGTTGTTCCCCTTAATTTTTACGAATTTAATTATAATTGATTAATTTTGCTTCTTTTTCCTCTTAAATAACTTTTATTCTTGCTAAAATAATGCAGTTTGTGGGAAGACGCAGTGGTGTTCGGGGAGCGCGGCGGCGGCTGCCCGAGCTGCTCTGTGGGTGGCTGTTCCAAGTCGGCAGCAGTGGAATCCTGCAATAAAATGGTATAGCTGTTGGAGTTATGAATAAAGATAGTAATTTTAGGTAAATATATTATAATTAAATAGGACATAAAAGAAAATATACTGATTAAAAAAGCAGTTTGTAGAAGCGTTCGACTCGATGCTCCCGCTGCGGCTGCAGGCCGGCTGCTGCTGCTGCTGCGAGCAATTCATGAACGGCTCGATGCTGCCTGCAGCAGGAGAATTGCAAATCATTATGACCTAAATCCCTGCAGTTTTGCTCCTTTTGTCTTATTTTCATCTTCCTTTATTAAACAATATCCATTCTCCACCAGGCAGCAGACGTTCTCCAACTTGAGCTTCGAGGAAACACGTGAGTTTTCGGTGTACACGTTATACAGCCGCCTTGCGCCACACGTCCGAACAGGCAACACAACGAAGGAAATGCGACTCTCTTTTTGTTTCTTTTTGTGTTGTTGAGTTACCACTTTCCATTTAAAGTGTTGAACTTCCTTCTCTTTGCTATATTCTGCTGCTGAGGACCTCCATCTCTTCTTATCAGCAGCAGATACGACTCGCCGCGGCCGACGCACCGGTGGCGCGAATGCCTATGCGAGCATCATTGAAGGAGAATCAACGTTTTTAAGTGTTGTTTTCTTTTCATTTCTTCTTTCTGCTAAATATATTTAGCTACCAACTCGTTTCCTCTGCTATCCTCCCTCATCTTTGTAGGGCTCGCTGGCTGCGAATTCCCTCTGTCGCGTTCGTCACCACTGGTGTTGGCGGACTTATTTATCGTTCATTGAGTCTCTGTCCTGTTTTCAATGATTATAATTTTATTTCTTGTTCGTTTTATGAACTTTTTGTTGCAGTTCACCCGTTGGATCCCCGCTTTCTTGTCCTCTAGCGGACTAGTGCAGCATATGTTCTTGCATATTGACAATCGACATTAATATATCCTTCTGTATGTTTTTTTGTGTGTATTTTAGGCGGGAAAATGAGCAAAAAGGAGGATGTCACCACTCCTGAGGAGGGGGTGGACGTCCTCGTTCAACCTCTTCCTCACCCTTCTCGTCCTACAGAACCAGCTCCCTTTGCAACAAGAGAACCCGGTGCTTATCCTGGTGCACCTGTGAGTGCAACAATGCCTCCTCCTCACGAGGCATCTGCAGCAGAGATGACAGAAGGAGAGAGGGAGTCATCAACCGGTACAGCAGCTGGGGCAGCAGCAGCAGGTGGTGCAGGAGCAGCATTACACAGCACAGTTCCTTGCAGCATGGGTCCTGCTAGTCGTCCTCCTCCCCAAGTAATGACAGCTTTAGGACCTATGCCTCTTCCCCCGGAGATAAGAAGACGTATACCAGAGAAGTTTGTTGCAAGACCAATTATAGAGGAAAGGGAGATATATATAGCAAAGAAAGAAGTACAAGAAAGAACAATAGAAGTACCACATGTACATTATGAGCATAAGTTTGCTGAGGTAGCAAAAAGTCTAAAAATAAAGAAGATTGTACCTACTATAACAGAAGTAATAAAAGAAGTACCTAGAGAAGTATATAAACCTGTAGTAGAAGAAAAAGTTATTGAGGTACCACAAGGTGTTAAATATGTTGAGGTACCTGTAGAGGTACCCTGTCTATATCCACCAAAAATAGTACCAAGACCTAAGGTACAAGTAGTAGAGCGTGTAGTAGAAACCGTTAAGCCTGTAGTACAAGAAAAGATAATAGAGGTACCACAGACAGTAGTTAAACAAATACCTAAAATAAAAACTGTAGAGGTACCTTATTATGTACCTCGTTATGTAGAAAAAATTATTGAGGTTCCTTATCAGCCTCCTGATGCTGCTTCCTTACCTCCTATACTTAGTGGTACATTACCATCAGGTATTGCTGCTAAGATGCCTCTACCTTTCCAGATGGGTCCTGTTCCTCTTAGTCAGATGAATGGTCTAAATCTTCCTTATGAGGCAAAGATTGATGTACGTATAAGTCAGCAGCCACCAGGACAAGAACAGCAGCAACAAGGAGAACAAGGAGGACAGGGAGGACAAGGACAGCAACAACTTCAGCAGCAGAATACATCTTGTACATTAACTAATCCTGGAGGTGCACCAGCAATTGAACTTGTTCAAGGATTTAGATGGGGTAAACCTCCTAATGCTCCTCCTGTTATTGAGGCGCCTTGCGGGGGCACGGGTGCAGCTGGACCTGATGGTGATCCACGCATGCGTTATATGCCTCCTCTTATGGTTACATGTCCTCCTGAAGTAGGACAAGTTAACTTTGCTGGATTTGTAGCAGAGCCAGATATTCTTACAAGAGATGGGGTTATGGCATATTCAGGTTTCCGTGCTCATGGTAACTTTAAGATGCTATTCCCTCCTCTTGCTCCTCAACCAGGTGTACCTATGAATCCTGCAGGAACTCCAGATGTACGAACTATTGCAGAAACACAAAGTTATATCAGCGGACAACAACATATTGATGCATTACAACAGAAAGCAACAGAGATCGAACAAGAATACGAAAACCCAACCACCAACTGGTGCGGACAAGCCCCTCCTCCTACTGCAGGAACTGTATATGAACAGTAAATCATCAGTACTTCAATTCATGCAAATGCATGCAAAATGTATGAAAGGCTCCTACCAAGACGAACTGATAGACTCCCACTTCGCCATGGCATTCAATTGGACTGCACTGCAGAAATGGGAACACAAGCAGCAGCAGCAGCCTCCTGATAGCAGCGGACGATTCTTTAAGGAGGAAGAGGAGACATTTGGGCACTTGGGGAAAGGAAAATAACAGCAACAAGCAACACATACTCACGAACAACAGCAGCAACACCTGCAGCACCAGCAGCAGCAGCAACAGCAGCAGCAACTGCCTGGTGAGTGTATGTGTGTGTATATATATAAGTCTGCTTTATGCTCTGTCTTTTTAAGTTGATTCATCTTCACTATTCCTATATGAGGGTTTTGTTTAATAACTCTTGAGTACTTTACACTTTATATAAAGAAGAGGGAAAATAAACAAGTAACTGCTGCTCCGGTGTATGTATGACCATTGGTCTTCTTCCCTCCATTCATCAACAAACAAATACAGTACAATACAGCAATTGCTGCATTTGTACGCCTGCATCCATGCATGCATGCATGCATTTATACGTGCGTGCATGCATATGCATATGCAGTCCCTGAACATTTAATAATAACAGCTTTGTTTGCCGATATTCTTCGGCTGTTAAAGAATATTTGCATCTTCTTTTCTTGACAAAAAGAAGTAGAAATCCCTCTTTATACAAACAAACTCTTAGCAAGGTTAGTTATTAATTTGTATTAGTAATTATAATCGCTTATAGTGTAGATTAGGGACACTAAAGAGGAAGGACAATAACTCAGTATTAGAGTTATAATTGTAGTTGTACGTCCATACAGGACAGCAAAACCGCCATACCTTCTTTTTCTTTAGCTTCTTTTACTCCATATATAATATATATAGAACAAATAATATGTTTAAGCCTATGTATTTAATGCAATATGCTTATTTTATGTTTATATTCGTGTGCATATGCTGCCCGCGAGTACTTGTTACTTGCAAGAGTAAAAGGAGGATATATATTTGCATACGCATTTGTTTGCTTTCTCTGTTCGGTAGGAGAATGAAGGAAAACAACGGGCAACTTTTGCATAGAGTAGAAAATATATATACCCATATTTCTCCTTTAGTAATATTTAGTGCTAGATTTAGAGATATTAACCAAGTTAAATTGTTTTATTTTAGTAATTCTTTGGTTATACACTTAAGTTGTCTTGCTGCGCATTCAATCTGCTATATGGGCTGCTGCATATGGTTCTAGCTACTTTAGACAATACTTAAAACAGCAGAGAGAAGCTGCTCCTGCATGCAACTGCTATTTGTGCAATAAATTCCCTCATTTTTCTTTGTAAAAAATTACTCGGATAGTATATTTGGTGCATGCTACAGGTAAAAAGCGGCATTGCGGTAATACTGCTGGTGTAGCTAGGCAACTCTCACGCACAACAACGGCAAGCCCGCATAGTTATTTGATCCTATCTTTGGAATACAATAAACTAAATTATTAGTTTAAGTGTGTTTACCTATCGGTCATGTGTATGTACACATCTTATATGTGCGTACATATCACGTACATATCCCCAACACGCGGGAAGCGGCGGAGTTTTAATCTAACTAGTGGGGGAAATCTGGAGTGTTAATCAATTATTTAGATAAATCAGACAACGCCTGCACATAAAATATTGTTGAATTTATCATTGGTCGTGCATTTATGCGGCAAAAGCGAGGAAATCCGGAGTCTGGTGTGTTTCGAGGCAGGCGGTGGTGGCACAGCTCGCTCAGGCGCACGCAACAGCGACTAATAAAAAGGAGTGTTTAAAAGTAGGACAAGAGAATAAATAGATTGTGTTAAAGTATAAAATGGCACAGGTTTAATGCATGTATTTAAATCGATTGATATACACCGATTATCTCTCAATAGAACCTCGCCAGACTCTTGCTTTGCTGTGGTTGGCGGGTTGAGCTTGTTGCAGACTTGGATGCTCCATTTCAGCCTTTCACTAAAAGACGAAAAAAATGTGAATTTAAGCTCTTGAATTAAATATTTAATATCTTTTAAAGAGGTATTTCAACTTTTTATAGGACATAACTATATCATCAGAACGAGCACTCAAAATCCATCTGTGGCCCCCAGCGTAACTCCTACAGTTAAGCCCCGCAACTAGCAGTTGTTTGCATTATTTTTTGCCTTTTTTTCAGTTTACTTCTTTGAAATTCATCTGGTTCTTCATTTGGATCTATTACTTCTGTTTATTCGCCCGTTTTCACCCATCCCTCCCCCCGTATTCCTTTCGCAGGGTTATGTGTGCATCGAGTGTCTGAACTCCTTTGCTTTCCGTTTTCTCCCTTGATTTCTTCTTTATTTTATTCATTTAAAATACTTTCAACGACAAATGAACAGATGGGAAACTCAGCACCGGGGTTGGCTCTTCGCACAGACAAGTACATGCCGAAGTCGGTTGTCGTCATCACAGGGGCCACAAGGGGCATTGGGAAGGTAAAATCAGCGCAAAAGCAAATTAAATATTAAGATAACACTTTAATATATCAAAACTCAACACAAACAGCCTTAGAATCGTCCCTTACGAAAGAAACACAGACGGCGCATTCACACATTTGCAGTGAAAGAGCAAACGAAATGGTTCTATTACATGCATAAACTGTCGAAACAAGCATTGAGCCTTGGTAATTGAAGGACCCAGAGATTAATCCAATGTCTGTTTGGAGGGAACAAAAAATGCTAATAAACGCAGGGAAAACAGCAGCAAAAACGCTTTATTGCATTAATATAAACATAAATGAATTAAGTCTATGCAACAAACACAAGCCACTATGATCACCATACTTAAATACTTTTATTTTTGTGGCGTTATCTATTGCTTTGCCTACTTAATTTCTTTTTAAGGAAATTTCTCTCCTCACAAGTAGATGCCGAATAAATGCAGCGAAGGACACTTTGTTGTTCGCTCTCAAATTATTTGTAATTTATTGCGTTCTTGCGTCTGTATTTGTATTTGTTCGCTTGTACTTTTACAGGGATTAGCCTTGAGATATGCGCAGAGAGGGGCGTCCTTAGTGCTTGCGGCTCGCAGCAAAGAATGCCTCGAAGAAACAAAGAGAGAATGCGTGCAGCTAGGCGCTGCAGGCTGTCTTGTTGTGCCTACAGATGTGACGAATGAACAGGTAATAAACTGAAAAATGCATTTTCTTCACTTCAAGTCGGTTTCCTGATATTGCTGCTGCTGTTGCTGCAGTGTTTGTGTTGCATTTGTTTTCCTCATGCTTATCTGTTTTCTATTCGATTTAGGCCTGCAAGTACCTCATAAAGGCGGCGGTAGAGGCGTTTAACCGGATTGATGTGTTGATACTCAATGCAGGTATACCTCATTAAACGAAAAGGGCTAAAACAAATACATTAATTTGTACGTAAATATAGGAGTTTTGGCTTTAAAACGTTTCGTGTAGTGACTGGGTTTATTTACTTTTCCCTTACTTGTCCTACGTTGGTCTATTTTGTTTTGTTTGACAGTGGTCGTTTGGTTCTATATATGTATATATAGGCAGCAATGATGATTGTATCTGGTTTCCGTTTGTGCTTTGGTTTTGGTTCAGGTGTTAGCGCACATTTCCCATTTTCAGAATTTGCTGATATGAACATCTTCAGGCGTTTGTTTGATGTTAACTTCTTTGGCTACGGTGAGAAAAATCCCACGCCTAAAAGAGAGAAAACAACAAATAGTTATATATAACAAGTAAATATGCGTGAGCGGAAAAGACATACAGGGGCCGGGAGAGAGAGGAAATGAGAGGAGAGGGGATGCCGTAGGTGCCGTAGTGCATTAAATCTCCTACACACATGCAAGTGTTTTGCGTTAATTTTTGCTGCCTTTTGCTTCAGTGCATTGTACAAAACATGCACTCCCGCATTTAAAAAGAAGCAAAGGATTAATTGTCGTCATTTCTTCAGTCAGTGGAGAAATCGGACTACCTCTACGCAGCGCTTATTGCTCAAGCAAATTCGCGGTAACAGGTGAGAGCCACCGCAGCAAAAATTGAACAGCATTAATTTGCTTTTAGCTTTTGTTGTTTATCTCCTTTTTAGTGGCTTTCTGCTGGTGTATTGGCTTTTGTAAATTCGACTAACCTGTTGTCGCTTTGTTTCATTAATTATGTGTGGACCATGAAACTGTTATTGTCATCTATTGAACTTTCTTTATTAAAGGGGTATCCTTTTACAGTTCGCTTCAAAGAAATGGAGAGAATATTTTGGTTTGATTTTATTCTGCTTCTAGGGTTCTTTGAGGCCCTGCGGATGGAGCTAGAAGGGCAGGTGGATGTCACAATATGCTGCCCGCCTTCTGTCCGAACGGAAATGAGGAGATATCAAGTACGTGCAAATTGAAAGACGTATTGAGAAATAATAATGGCGAGGGGTCCTTCAATGGCAGCGAGTACTGAATTGGCTGTTAGTAGTTGGTAATAATGATGGAGTTATATATAATAGTAAATATAGCTCCACGCTGTTACTTATTCTTTGCTGGATCGCCTGTGGAGCCGTGGCGCCTCTATTTTCACTCTTGCCGGTTTGCTGCAGTGTGTCATTATGTGTCATCTGCTGTTCTTTCATGCATTTCTCCTTTTATTTTTATTTTCTTCAGCTGCTGCCCGAGTGTAAAGCACTTGACGGCGCAGATGTGTATTTAAAAGGAGGGAAAGACATATCAAATACAAGTGAAACGGCAAACACAGCAGAAGCAGCAGCAGCAGAAACCTCGGAAGGAGGAGCCCAAGCGGATGCAAATGAACCTACAGCAGATAATGCAACTGAATATGCTGAGGATAGTAATAAGACTGATCGCAGAATGCCAGTGGATGTCTGCGTGGACTACGTAAGAAAAGCCCTCAAATACAAAAGCAGTAACCTGCTGAAGGAAAACAAAAAAGAAAGTGTTGCTGTTTTAAAGGCTTTTCCACAAGAATTTAAACTAAAAGGGAACGTACAAGGGATGCCGCACTTCGTGGGGGGAAATGGGAACATTTGCCTGCATTTCTAGGCAAACGGCTGCGTAGATAATTGTACAAAGCAGCCACATAAAAAAGCGAAATAAATAAATGCAAAATGATTACGAGTGGCGGCAAATGACTCAATAGACAATCCTGTGAAGAAGTAAATTCAACCCTTTTGTTTTTGCTGTGGTTTTCCTCAGATTTTGAAGGCAGCAGACAAAAGGGCGAGAAAAGTGATGTTTCCGCTCTATTCCTATCTTGCGGTGTACATCCGGCCTCTGCTACCTGGCATCGTTGACCCTTTTATCAAGAGAGCAGCGAAGCTGTAAATGCTTTAAACTCACACGCAAACGTGGCAGGCGCAGCAGCAGCAGCAAGCGCTGCTGCTGCTGGCTGCTGCATTTGCCGTCGCCTCCAGTGACTGCTATCCTTGCCTTCGCCGTTGCACCAGCGAGCTGTTGTTGCTGAGGCGGCACGTGCTGCTATAGTGCCGGTTGCTGCTGCGGCGGCGGGAAGGGACCATCTGGGGCCTGCAGTGTTTGTGTTCTTCCATAGGCAGAATGGTTGGTTTCTTCCTAAGGAGGAGAAAGAATTTCTTCAAAAGAAATCGAATATATTTAGCTAGGCAATGACTTCTCAGCAGCAGCAGCAGGTGGCAGGCCGCCGTCTCTACTGGATTTTGCGGAGAAGGAAACACCTTTCCTTTCTTTAGAACTGATTTATGTTTTATCTTGGCTTTAGTGGAATTGCTTTGAATTTGATCTCAAGCTTCTCAATTTATATGTAATGGAATATCTGGCAAACTGTTTGAAATTTGACAACCCTCGAAAGGGTTTACAAGGGGAGCTCGTTAGGGAAACATCTGGGGACATTCCGTTAAAACTTGATGCCCGTCTCCCGTCTATGTTTAGTGTGTCTAGAGGTGAATATATAACAGCACACTATTCAATCAATCGTCTTCCTGTCTCTATCAAATGGGCATAAAGGGAGGTTTCTGCTCTGAAGTGTAATTATCTTGCTAGTGCGTGGAAGTGACAAAGGAGGGAAGCGTCTGTTGCCTGCTCTGCTGCTCCTTACTCGCTACCACTCCGAGAGGCCTTATATGCCCGTTACCCATAAAGGCAATTAAGTCCATTATAATTAATAATGCCGTACCAGGGGCTATATTGAGAGCGTACAACGAATATTAAAATGCTAGAAAGCAAGTGCCTTAGAAAGAAGGCGTAAGATGATTCCTGGTAGTAATGAAGGTGGGAGGGGAACCTTCGACACCATTATAATTAATAATGCCGTACCAGGGGCTATATGGAGAGCGTACAACGAATATTAAAATGCTAGAAAGCAAGTGCCTTAGAAAGAAGGCGTAAGATGATTCCTGGTAGTAATGAAGGTGGGAGGGGAACCTTCGACACTCCAAATACAAAAACAAACACACGAAAGAATGAATAGACTCTCATGCACAACAAAGTCAACATAATTTGTCCCCTGCAGTTTCCCTGCCGCCCCTGCATGCACGCATACAAGAGAGTCCGAAATAGAAGAACCATATAGTTATGGAAGAAATCATTCACTTCGCGCTAGAGGAGGACATCACCTTTTCTACTAAACTATCCCTCTAATGTAACTAATTTAGTTGCATGCAGACTTAGTAAATATTTTTCTAAGCGATTACCAGTAGGCTGAAGTGGGTCAAAATAATTTCAAGAGCGACCCCTCGACAAACATATGCGGGTGCTGCATGCTGCTCGACTAGACTTTTATTCTTTACTTGCTCGTTATCTATTAAAAATGAGCCTAGAGATTAAATGTACTCGTTGAAAACAAGTGCTCTGCATCACCCCGCCTCAGCTGTTTGCACACCGGACCGTTCTAGACCATTGCAGCGGCTTCGCTGCATGGAGTTCGGGTGGAGTTTCCTCTAGAATGGGGCAAAATGGCCTTTCTCCTGAGTTCGATTTGATGTAAATTGCTAGAAGTAACCGAATAAAGAATACGAGAATGTTTTTCCAACATTATTACCCCAAGAACGAGCACCCGCAAGGCTGAGAGGAACCGGAAGCCGTTGTAGCAGCCCTGTGCGTCCTGCTGAAACCCCTGCCTGTTTTGGGTGACGGTTTTGGAGACTTTCCCCTATTTGTTATCATTTACTTCGGTGGAAGTCTTTGAATAACGCAAAAAAGTCAACGAGGGTCGTTGCTGCCTACGGATCGTTTCAGCTCACCTCCTATGACTGCGCTGCTGCAGCTTGTCAGTGTAATGGGTGAGTCAAGGGGAGAAGATTTCGGCGCTTTTTCTTTGGATCCGTCCTTACTGCTTTTGTTTTAATGCTCTTTCTGCGGCGGAAAACATTTTCTTCGCTTTCTAAATACCTCCTCAGCAGCGACAGGCACGACAGCGCTTCGTGGGGAACGTGACATGGCTCTAAACTGCTTTATGAGTGTTTTTTCCCTTGATCTTCAGCAGAAAGAAAAACAATTGAAGCTGAATAAAGGAATGCAACCGCAACACCCACTTCATAGGACTCTCCAGCAGCTCAGCCGTGACAACCGGCTCGAGTTTTTTCACATTTAACTACATTCTGTTCACGTTCTTTTGTCAAGTGTTACACAGACAGAGTGCTCTGCAGCATGTTGTCTGCTTCTACCACAAGGACTAATCGTCTAACGGCATGAGAGACACCCTTCTGCATGTACTGCTGGGCATTAGGTCGTAGTTCTTTTGCACATTTTCCAGCTTAAACGAATTGAAGGCTGCCACCTTGACATGTTCGCTATACATTCACCGGAGTTGGGCATTTGCTTCTCTTTGTTTCAGTAGAAACAAACAGAATCTCCTTCCACCGCGACATCTTTTGTGTCTGTCACCTTGGAGCTGCCCGTGTCGCTCGTCGGGTCTCGGTATTCATGCATGCAGTGGAGGAATGGCTTTAGTGCTTCATTCTGATATATTTGTATCTGTGCTCGTGGGGAGGTTGTATGTACCCGAGACCGAAGGCATAGACGAACTGTTGAATTAAATGACTGGGGGGTGTCTGCGGGTTTAGGGTTAGCCTACTTGGGCTTACGGTTGGGGGTTTAGGGTTTGTACGTGTGTTCAGGGGCTTCGGCTTGACTTGAGGATCCGATTGTGTGTGTTGTAGCTAAGAGGCCTGTTCTTTTGGGTTGTATTGTATGTACACCATAGACGTGTGCCTGCATTAGTTTGGTTCTTTTTTTGTGTCTTCCTTGTTCCTTCTTCGTACCTTCTCTTCACCACTAGGTGCTGTTGGTTTATTTGCCGTTTATTTCAAACCTCAGCAACAATGGACATATTTCGGAAGCTCTTGCCTATGCAAAAGGAGGCAGCCCAAGGTGCTGCTAACCACCAAATTCGAATTCCTCCGGGAAAATGCGTCGCTTCAAATTTCGCCTTTGCCAACACTCTCGGCACAGGTAGAGCATTCAGCCGACAGCAGCTCATAAGCGGCCTTGACTGGCTCTCTTGTTTTATTTTGTGTTTTTCTTGGTTTGTGTGTTCATGGCACTGGTTTATATACATTCATTGAAGGAAGACCCAGGGGTGGTTGCGTGGGAATTTGCCCTAGGAAGCGCTGCATGCGTTAGCTGATGATTTCAGGTCGATTTGCTTTTTTTGATGCAGTTTCGAGGGGCTTGCTTTGCTCGCCATGCCTGCATAGTATATTCGTAGTGTAATGGGCTTTGTGGCGCGTAGAGGCGCGTGTGTGTCTATTTTGCTGCACACAAGCACTCCTGTACAGTTATTTTACGTATGTACATATTAGGTGTATGTGATTGGCATGAACACATCAGAAGTTTATCCTGTTTATGTTAACTGCATATGTATCTGCAACAGCTAAAGCCTACCTAGGGTGTCCATGGACGTGTTTAATGCCTGTTTGCGATTTGAAATATGATGCCTGCCACGTTTAATTCTTTTTGGGCTGGCTTGAACATTTAATCGGTTTTCTCTACACTCCCTTCCCACGTTGGAATTATTGCTGTGTTTGTGTCATACACGTTTACTACATTTGAGGAGGACGATTGGCGGGCAGGATGAAGTTGAGGTGCAGTTTCTTTTATCTGCTTTATTTCCAGTTTATAGTATGTAATCTATTTTAGGCTCATTCGGTCGGGTGTTCTTGGCAAGGAGGAAAGATGATCCTACTGCTCCTCCGGTTGCCGTCAAACGTCTGAAGAAGTCGTCTATTATCCGACAAAAACAAGTCGATCATATTCTTTCTGAAAAAAGAATACTGCAATTGATCAACCATCCATTCACCGTAAGTATCTGTAAATAAGCCCGGCGGGGCCTGTAGTGTTGCTGCTGCGACGACTTTGTTGCTTCTGCTGCTGCTGTTGCTGCTGCTGTTTTCGCGTTTGTTGGTGCTGTTGTACTCCCTGTTCTTGATTATACATGTGTTTCTGTTCTCTTTTCTCGGTTGTGTGCGTGTTGCTGTTGCAAGTGCCGTTTTCGTTTGCGGCTGCTGCACAGCAGGTTTCCCGTGTTGGCATGCGTTGGTAGCACTTGTGTAAGGAAAGCTTACAGTTAGGGTTTATAGCTGGTCGTCGATCCACGTTGGCTCTTTTGTTGTGTGCTTTTGTTTGTTTTTATTTGCTGTTATGTTTTAGGTGAACATGCTGGGCACATTTAGAGACGACCATTATTTGTACATCGTGATGGAGTATGTGATCGGAGGAGAATTCTTCACAGTGTTGCGCAAGAACCGCCGCTTTGAGAATGGCGCCTCTCGCTTCTATGCAGCACAGGTCACCTGCATCTTTGAGTACTTGCACGGCCGCAACATTATATACAGGTTTGTCGGCCTAACACTTGGATTGAAATGCTCGTTGGTTCAATGCAACTTCAGACGAATGCTGCAACTCCTTTTAGCATCCAGACAAACAGACGGAAAAGCCCAAAAAGGAATACAGATGCAGAGAGACAAACACAGGAAAACTAGGGGCCATTCGACGCAAAACGGCCAAAATCAAAAGACAATTCGCAGACAGGAAAACGGAAATCAAACACAAATCGTTTTTTAAGAAATTAGCGTTTAGGGTTTAGGCTGTATTCAGTGAGCGGATGAGGTGAGAGTTATTATCGTGTGTGCTGGGGTGTATGGTTGATAAGGGACCTCAAACCGGAGAACTTGTTGGTGGACTCGGAGGGGTACCTCAAGCTAACAGACTTCGGGTTTGCAAAGGTTGTTGAAACCCGCACGTACACCTTATGCGGCACTCCGGAGTACATCGCTCCTGAAGTGCTGTTGAATAAAGGTGAGGCAGATAAGCAGCAGTCATAAGCGCATCAGGGAAGCACTAGTAGACTTTGCCGCAACTGCGCGGGTAATACTCTGGGGTGTATACGTGCGTTGGCAATCTGCATATGCCTGTACCCTGTCGCTTTGCAGGCCACGGGAAACCCGTTGATTGGTGGACAATGGGGATTTTAATTTACGAAATGATAGTCGGTTATCCCCCCTTCTTTGATGATGAACCCATGGGGGTATACCAAAAGATTTTGGGGGGACGCATCGTCTTTCCAAAGTCGTTCGACCGGTATGTTGTGTGCCTCTAGGACCGTTCATATGAAGACCACAACTGGACGCTGCTTCTGCTTCTGTTTCTAAGGGACTTATGTGTGGGGGGGGAAGAGAGGGCGAGTGCAAAAACGAGTATTCAGTTGCGTCTTTAGATAGTACACCAGCAGCGGCAGTATAAAGAGGAATGACCGTGCTTGTCTCTTCAGCAGTTTGCTCTGTATTTGCCTTCTGTTTGGTGTTTTTTGCTAGGAATGCAAAGCTGCTTGTGAAGCGTCTCCTCACTCCAGATCTGACGAAGCGATACGGTAACCTAAAGAATGGTGTTGCAGACATCAAAGAGCACAAGTGGTTTGCTGGGTTTGATTGGAACGCTCTGCTGAAGAAGAGTCTGCCCCCGCCTTACAAACCCGTTTTCAAGGTGAGAAAACAGGGAGTGAAAGGGTTAGAGGGGGCTGGGTAGGGGTTTGCAGCTAAGATCGTAGATTTTTTGAGGGGTTTTAGAGGGTTCTTAATGCACAGATACACCTCTTGCTGTTGATGTTGCAATGCAGTCAATGGATGACACATCCAACTTCGACACCTATCCAGAGTCCACAGAGCAGCCACCCCCAATTACCGGGACGATGGATCCGTTTACTTCGTGGTGAAACATAAGCGCATGCATGCATGCATGCATGATAGTGAAGGCATGCATGATAGTGCATGCGTGGACCACCGTTGTAGTGCTGTCAAACTGCTGCTGCACTGCTGCAGCTGCTCGACACAAACAGCAAACAGAGAAGGCCAACCAGCAGCAGCTGCTGCTGCGTAGGCGAATAGAGTAGAGGGTTGGGAGTGATCTTAAGGGAGGCGACACCCCGCACAACAGGCAAAGCCCCACGCAACGCACACAAACCGGCAGAGATACACACACAAACGCACGCACACACGCAGATGTGCTTGGAATCATAAGCAAATGCATGCGGACTCGTGGATGCGTGCAGTGAAGTACATCTGCGGAAGTGCAGGTGCACCCATAAAAAACTTCACACTCGACACAGCGCATACATGCACCGGCACCTGCAAACACGTGCACACAAACGTACATGCATAGGCACATACCGCTCATGCACGTGCATAGGCCCACGTTCATGGACATGCAGATGCAGGCAGATGATGATGCAGGTGAACCTTCAATTGTTCCTTGTCACACCGGCTGGCGCTTTCCCTGCGTTTCTCTGGGAAATTAATCAATGGGAAACGTGAATGGGAAGAACCGGGTGGTTTGTTTCGAATTATTTAATACTCCCAATATTTGTCATTGGCTTTCCTCTGCCGGTCGGTAGACGTGTGCCAGGGTCTGTAGGAGCAGAAGTTGTTGCTTAGCATTAGAACTGGAAAATTACATTTAGACGCATGCAAATTGCTGCAAATCGAAGGGGAAAATTAACCGCTTCTTCCATCCGAACTGTCTTGCTTAGACAAACTTCTAGTGTAAAGACAGGTTGTGCCAGCACCGCAAGAGAGTTGTTGGGAAATATGCGCTTGTAACACTTTTCGGCTTTATCCTCACCTCTTCCATTTTGCATTAGGGTGTCATCTTTAGAGGACATTGATAATGTTTGCGTTGAATGAAACGACGAGCGGGCCTGCAAATTCATGGCTGAACAAGCATTCAGATGGGCACGAGCATCACCATCCTTGGGCCACTGAAGTTTGTTCTGGCCAACAAATATGTTTCGACTGCGCCGCTGAGATCCTTGAGAGGCAGCTGCCCCCAACTAGGAAATTCGGTTTCGTAAAGGAGGTACAGGGCTCCGTGCAGCAGCTGCCTCAGCACACTGCTGGCCGTGTTGCTCATTACCTTCTGCACTCCACGACTTTTGTCGAATCTGTCGTGAGCCTTATTGAAGCAGGCGTCAGCATAGAACTCCTGGTGCATGTGTTTCAATGAATTTTGTCCTGTAGCTGGATCTGCTGGGGGATGAAGCGCTGATGATGCTTGCAGGTTCAAGCGACCCTGCACAAGAGGCGTTAATGCAGTAGGCCTTCGTTTCCATACGACTCCGCCACGAAGTGCAAACTAAGCTCACATTCTCGTTTCCCTCTGCCCGCAGAGCGGCACTGTTTATAGATGAAGCAGCTTTCAAACACAACCCAGAAGAGCCGCCACACGGCGAAAACGGTCTTGCAGCAAAGTTGCACAAGCGCCTTCTTTCAACTGCCCCTCGTAGCCATGGCCTGCTGCTGCTGTTGAAGAAGCTCATATTCCGACCAAGGCCACACTCCCCTCCCGCCGTGCTGCAGGTATATTAGTTGTTAACGAGTGAAAAGCATCGATGTTGCAGTACCTCATTGCTGCTGCTCCCGTATTAATACAGGACCCAGAGCTCTGGGGGAGTCTATCTGCTGCTCTGCGTGTGGCCGTTAAGGCCGCAGCCCCTGATGAGGTGGAGATTACCCTCTGTTGCTTCTCTACATTGCTGCAGACACCTGGAGGGGGCGGTAAAGCTGCACTTCTGGTTTCGTTTTGCTTGCCGCACATAACAGCAGCGCTGCGGGTGGTGCCTCCCACACACCCCTTGGTGCCTCTGCTGCTGCATGGGGTCTTAAACTGCTTCCTCGTACCACAGCTGAGCCCACAGGTGCACGAACACCCAAAGATGCTGCTGCAGCTTGGGGAATCACTTCAAGCCGTGTTCGCATCTGACGCTGTAACAGCGGAGGTGCAGCAGCTCGCGTTGCAGCTGCTTCAGCAGCTGTTCTCCTCTCTGCCGGAAACATGCAAAGTCATCTTCGTTGAGGAGATATGTATCGTAGACTGGCTACTGGAAACAGCGAGGAACGGGAAATCTGTTGCTCAGGATGCTGTGCAGTGTCTGCAGCAAAACATCTTCGCCTCTCCGGCTTTCCTCCCTCACCACCTCGACACAAGTACGCATGCATTTGCAGGTTTCTTCATATATATACACTTGAATCCAACTCGGGTGGTTCGCCCTGCACTGCAGCCTTCAATACACTTTTGTGCATCGCCCGGAGACGACAAGGTAGCCGTTGGCTTGTGTCAGCGCTCTGCACTCTCGTTGCCTCCAAAACCGTAAGCAGAGAGACTCGCCTCTGTTGGCTTTGGAGCAATCTAGCTTGATAACCAAATTGAAACCAACAACAGGACTGGGTGCCTGATGCGGGGAAGCTCGCAGCCGTCCTAAACGCCGCAGCTGCTTCAATCTGCTGCAGCCAAGTCGTTTCTCCGCCTCTCCTACAACTGTCTGATATTGCAGATGGGTTGGTGGAGGGGAAGCGCCGAGCAGTTCAACTAAATGCGACTGCGGATGCAGATTGGGGCGTCGGCATTCTTTCGTTGGCTGCGCAGCTGTTTGAGAGTAAGATAATGGTATTACAAAGTGAAATGATAAATGAAGGAGCTGTAATAAACCGCATGTTGTTCGCAGTACACAGCAAAGCAACAGCAAGGAATTCGCGAAAGGGGAATCTGCGTTCAAATGTTTGGCTGCACATGTAGGCTTCAAAATATAATTTGTTACTCTTACTCTTGTCTTATGAAGCTTTCAGTCTGCATGACCTGCAGCAACTAATAACGGCATTGAAACAAACAGAGAACCGCTGGCCTCCTGCTGCAGCAAACAGCAGTTTCGGCTCTCTGGCGCAGATCATATTATTACTCGTTCGGACACACAGAAGCACTTTGCAGAGTCCTCAGAATGCAGAGGAGCTGCGGCTAGTCATTGATTGCCTCCCTCTTGAAGCAAAGATGGTGTCTGCTTTCTTCTTTGTGTGGAGGGTCGGTTCAGATACAGAAATGAATGCATGCACCTGTTTATCGAAGCCTTTGTTTTGTTACCTCTTCAGGCAACGTGCCCTGCTGCTGAACAAGACCAGATCGTGTTCCTCAACTGCGCCTTTTCCACCTTATTCGTGGACAGCAAGGAGGATCGTTTTCCTCCTGAAGTTTTTATGGAGGCGAAACTGTTTGTCACCCGCGCAGGCAAGAAGATTTCGCCTAATTTATTCATACATTAGTGTATACTAAAGTTGTCTTGTTTAGATCAAGCGGGAGTTATCCGGCAAGTTCGGAAATTTATCTTCTTCACCTGATTCTCCTTCATATTGCTGATGCAGGCGCCTTATCAGCAACGCCTTGAACCTTGCTGCGAATACTGAAGGCAAACGCCTCTTTCTTCCATTATCAGCAGACACTAAATTGTCCTTTCTTGTTGTTCTGTTACAAATACTGATAAAAGAATTGCCGGCAACTGGTGGTGGGAAAGCTGTCAAGTGTGACGTTTCCTCAGGAGTTGCAGAACTGATGAATCGGATAGGTAATAATACTTCTCTATTTCCATCCACTTTGTATAGACTGGAAATAAAAGAAGCAAAAACATACCGGGTTACAGGGAGGTCGGAGCAACACATGGAAAGAGCGACGTCGGACTGTGAAATAATTTCTATTTCTCTTTTGTTGCTCAGCAACTAGTAAGCGCAGTTCACAGCCCAGTATTTAAAAGTGATTTGTTATCGTCGCTTTGTAGCTCAAGCCTCAACAACTGCCCATACGAGCTGAAGGAGTAGGTCATTTTCTACTGGCAGGAATGGCTGACTCTTCCTTTTATTTTTCCTTCTCTACTGCAATTCTACAGGGCCGCAGCATCTGTGCATAAGTTGCTTGTGGCTCCTTCTGCCGCCTCCTTGGTGCGTTGAACCTGAGACCATTGACCTTTATTATTATGTGTGTAATTGATTAAACAACCAACAGCAGACGCTGAAGCACCCGCGTATTGTTGTTTGTCTGGCTGGCATCGTCTTCAGAGATCCATGCTTAACACGATTTAGAGAAAGTGTATTGCAGTATTTTGCAACTGTCTGGGACTCCCTCGTCTTCGCTGAATGGAGGAGTTGGAGCACCAGCGTCTTCGCAAGGCATCTTCGAGAGGTAGGATGCCTCCCTACATAATATATACATATATTACTGTAAAAGTTATTGTAAGTGCATCTGGGTATATGCATTTACACGTACTCGTTGACAAAAGCTCACCTACAAAGGGCAGTCAACCGTTATGTATTAAATATGCACATTTTACATTTTTTAGGCACTGCAAGGTTTGTTTGGAGCTGCAAATGAGTGGATGGGCAGCGGCCAAGAGTTGCAGGGTGTTGGGGTTCGCTTGTCTCAATTTGTGCACTACGACATTCTTCTCTGCTCTGAGGGTTTGCTGCCGCTGCTTGCAGACGGATTGGGCTGCTTTCCGGTGAGCCAAGAAACTTGAAAGACTCGATCTGTTAGCAAGCCTAACAACACCTGATATGCATGCAACCAATTCTACAACTAACAACTAAATCTAACAAGTAGATTGAGCAACGAACTCTAACAGGCCCTCGTGAACGAAGTGTTGCTGGAGGAGTCAGCGGCCTCACACTGGCAGCCGGAAAGTGTATCATGGATCGTCTCTCAAGCGCTGAAGAGGCATTCTTTGCATGCACCCGTATTCGGCAGACTTGAGGCCCTGCTGCAGATTATTGACCGCTGTGTAGCAGCAGAAGTAGAATGGACTGAATCTGGCGGCTCAGCCGCATTAACTGCCAACGTCGCCTTGGCAATACAGGTAAGGAGGAACTCCCGTCTTCATGCTGCTGACTTCTTGTTGTTTCTTATAGCGGGATACCAGGCCGCTTCTCTTTACCTCCTCAATAACAAATCAATCGACGGGGGCAAGGCGCTGCAGCTAACCATGAAGCTGCACCATCTCGCTGGAGTTGCTAGATTATCTTCTTCTGTAAGCTTCAGGCTTTTCTGTTGTGCTGTCTTTCCAAGCTTTTCACCTTCTCTGCTCAGGGCAGCCCATCTCTTATACCAGATTTCCTGGCCGTCGTGCTCCAGTGTTTGTTCGTTTGCTGCCATGGGGCTCATGAAAGAGGTATTGCAATGACACCAACAGCAGCAAACGCATACATGCATGCATTGGTATCCTCCTCTCTGCAGCTGCTCACTCGCTCCGGCGTTCTCCACACCTTCTTGCAGTCCTCAAGCGCAGCATCGGAGACTTGGCAGAGGCCCAAGAAAAGGCAGAGGAAGCGGCGACACTGGCGCTAGTTGTCTTAACAGTGCTGTTGGTGCAACCGTTGGTGAGTAGCAGAGAGTATCAAGTAGAAAATTAACAAGAAAACACATGAATCTCAAATAAATGCTGTTATGCTGAATATAAGGATTGCAGGAAGAGAGGATGCAACTGCCAGACCCATTGCTAGCAGCAGTACTAAATCCTCTAGGTGACAACTGCACTTCACCAAGAAACGACGCGCACGCCAGCAGCTCAAGCAGCACCAGCAGGATTTTGAACCAAAATTCCTTTTCCTTCTTACTGAGCCCCACAGTTGCCGAGAATGTCCGCTCTGCCGCCTGTCTGTTGTTGTCAGCTATCTTCGCTTTCCAGGTACTCCGCTGAATTCATAATAGAAGGAAGGGATTTGTGAGTTGTCCATCAAATGCTTATTTTTAATACACTTTGGACAGCTAGGAAACCACTCTGATGAGGACGTTGCCGAGGTGACTTCCCTGTGCATCAACGCCGCAGCAGAGGTAAGCAGAAACAGAGACAGTTGAACACGATTGCTTCTTATCGGGTTGCCTGTATGCATAACACTTTCTCAGAGTTGTACAGACACAGGCGCTGATGCAGCAATCTTGTGCCTTTGTTCTGTTTTCACTTGCGGCTCAATTCATTCTCTGCTCCGTTCTTGTTTGGTCTGCACGACCTTCTCCCTCTTCCCTCTATGCAACAAATTCCTCTGCTGTCCCCTCGAGCAGCAAACATCGTCCAAGGCAGCAGCTGCAGCGGTGAAACTCAGCAGAGGCCCCCGAGCAATATTGGCTGTCATAGTGAGCATATCCACATCATTGCAGAGTCTTTGTTCTTGCTCACATACGCTATGTGTTCATTATTCTATACACTCCCACTAAATACACACCTTATATGGGTTTGCATTCTGTTTATTTACCTGTTTGGCCTACAGCTTGCCCAAGCCGGGCCGATTTGGTTTTCTAGCAACTCTCTCTGCACAGCAGAGGTAGGCGGCGATAATACAAATAAAAGTATACTGAAGTATATATTTTGCCATAAAGATGAGGCAATCATCACCCTGCCTTTTCTTTTATTTCTATTCTCTTCCTTGTCAGATGAAGCAGGCAACACAAGACATAGCCAAGAATCCAGCAAACGCCGCCTCCACGCAGGCCGGTGCCAGGTTGCTTCTCCACACTCTGCACGGCCAGGGCGAAATTGACATCGCTGTTGCAGCAGCTGTTGGTAGTTCTGATGTATCGACAGCTGGGTACGAGAGGAGGAGTGAAGGGGAAAATTGCAGAGCTGGCGCTGTAGCGGTTTCCTCATCCTTCTCTCGATTTTGTCCTGATATTAGTTCAGAACAGGGAAAAGGGACGTCCGCAATACACGCCACCTTGGAAATCCTTCTGAGCCGAATTCTTCCTGCAGCTGGCGCTGTAGGGAAAGCTACAGCCACCATCAGCGCATTCGCGTATCAACAGTCCAAAGCACCTGAGCCAGAGTATTGCATTTGCCCGTAGAGGGAGTTTGAGCCCCTGGTGTTTTGTTTGGAAACAGAAACAAGAAGCAAATATGTCGACAGGAATTCAAGAGATAGATGAGACGCATTGGGCAGCCAGAAAGCTGATGATGCCTCAGAAAGTACACAACAATATTGTATATTTTCATACGAAACCTTCAAGTATAATATTTGCAAATCAGAAATGACGTAATGGTGCCTTGAGAAATCGGCTCCGTCCTCTCCAAGCCATAAGGAAGCCAGTTCTCTCTAGTCAGAAAAATGAGCTGCATGCAACGCTCTCTCTTGCTTGCTCTACTACGTGGCAGCGAGATATTAGTGGCCAATACAACAAATGACTTGCGAGTAGGGAGGCATTTGGTTCTATTACGAGGCAAATAGAAACAGCTGGCGTAGTGTTGCATTGTGAGATATTGGTGTTTGTGGTATGCAAAACGTAATGAAAACCAGAAAACGACAAATAAGAACTAAAAGAAAGTCCCGAAAAACGACACCGTACATGGTGGTTGCTCGTTCTCAAATGCATGCATCCATGCATTAGCATGCGTGGAGGCACTAGACCGGGTTATTATCATGGCTGTGTGTACGGGGGGTTAAAGGCGTTTTCGGGTACGAATGGGTAATAAGCCTCCCGAGGGTTGTTGGGAATCTGTTGCTGGAGCGGCCGCTGGAGCGGCCGCTGCAGATGCTGCTGCGGCTGCAGCTGCTGCTGCGGCTGCAGCTGTATGGGCCGCTGTTGCTGCAGATGCAGCGGGAGGCGTGGAACTGCATGCATTTCCGCATGTGGTTCTATTCTCAGCACTGCAGGGGGGTGTTCTGGGGCTGCCCAGGGATGCTGCTGCAGAGGGAGAGGGTTTGTTAAGACAGCAGAAAGAGCAGCGCTCTCAAGAGACGTTGCTCGCGGGTGATGCCAAGGGGAATGGCGGGGGGGCAGGGGAGCAGCAAACGGTGGCGGCTGGGGTGCAACAGTCTCGCGGAAGTGTACAGACACCCCGGTGAAAGGAGCTGCTTGGCCACTGTATAGAGGAAGACCAGCAGGAGCTCCCAACAGATGGTGGTGGCCGCTGCTGTACAATATTTGCCTGTCCGTAAGCGGGTGGTAGTGGAGGGCGGCAGCAGTTGCCATAATCTGTCTCTGCTTTTCACGCTCCAGATCTTCAGCTAAAGATGTAAAATGAATGCCTTCGCACGAACTTGTTAACACGCGACGTTGGCCCCTTGCAACTCCTGACCCTGCTGCTGCTGCTGCTGTGGCTGTTGTAGCCTGCCGACCAGGAATGAACTGCTGGGCGTCATGTCGGAAGTTGCTGCTGCTGCTAGTGTAGTGGTGTCCTGAAACCTCTCCGTCGGTCATGCGTCTTCCGCTCCTTCGTGTTGCTTCTGCTGTCTCTTGTTTGTGGGGCTCAAAGCCTGGGGGGACTTCCAGCCCCTTGGCAAGATGCAGCTGACTGGCAGGCGGCCGCATTGCAGGGGCCCCCTTGGTAAAGGGCCCCCCCTCCAACTGCCGTCGGGGGGTCTCTACCGAGGCGGCCTCCCCACTCGCAAGGTAACTGGCAGCCACGCTTCTCGGATCGCGGCTATCGGCTTTCGGTGCAGCAGCAACTCCTCCTTTGTTGTTTTGGCTTGGATACAGCAAATTCCACAGCCAGTTTCCTGTGGCCTTCTTGTTAGTGCCTCCTTCAGGGGCATCGGCATCAGCAGTAGTGCCAGCAAGGGGCGCCTGCTGTTCCTGCTGCTGCTTTTGCTGCTGTTTCTGCTCAGTCTCCTGGATATCAGGCTGCGGTGCAGAAGAAGATGGATGATTCTGATTTGATCCTTTGTCGGGTTCTAGTGCAGAAGAAACAACAGCAGGATCAGCATCAGCAGCAGCAACTCCTGCATCGCTGGCTGGTGGTTTCGCTGTGGTATTACTCTGCGGCCGGAGTGGCCGTGCAATTCCTGTCTGTTCTGCGAACTGCGCAATGCCGTCCATGAACCGGCGGTACACCTGAGGGCCCCCAAGCCATCCTTTGGATTCATCCGCTTTCTGTGCTGCTGCTGCCGCTGCCTCCCCTGCTGTTGCCGCGGATGCTGTTCCTGGTGGTTCACCGGGCTGCTCTGCTGGCTTTGACTCCCTTGAGTAGGTGTCGGTTGCCGTAGCTTCCGCTGGCAGCGCAGTGTCTCTCGACCCGACCACTTTATCATCGCTGCTATCCATAATTTCATTTGCCTTCCCCTGCTCAACCTGCATTCTGCTATTATCGCCAGTGGATTTCCCTACACCGTCTGTGTGCGCGAACTCCCTCGCCCCAGCTGCTGCTGCTGCTGCTGCTTCTGCTGCGGCTGCTGCTACGGCTTCCGTCTCCGCTTCTTCGTCGTGCCGCTGCTGCTGCTGCTGCTGGTTTTCCTGTCGCGGTGCATAAGAGGCATCCAGGGGCACGCAGAAGCTGGCGAGAGGCTCTAGCGGATCGGTGAGGTTTTGCATACCGCTGTTTTCCGGTTGTTTGTTACTGTGTGATTTTTGCTCTTCACAACCGCTGGTTGTTGGGCGCTTTGTACTTGTATTCAAGGGAAATATACCAAAGGAAGAACTCATAGAAGGCTGCACTGTCGGACTCTCCAAAAGGTCGAAGAAAGGATCCGAAACACTACGGTGCTCTCTTTGTGCTGGGAGAGTTGCTTTGAGGGCTGCTGCACCTGCTGCAAATGCACAACTCTCGGGTGTGCTGTCTGCACGTGTTGCAACTTGGGCTGATGATGATGCTTCGGCCAGAGACGCTGCACGGAGTAAAGAGGCAGCGATCGCTGCAGCAGGCAGGGTTTCTGCCTGGGATGCGCGAGGAAGTGTTGCCTTTCTGCTGCTGTTGCTGCTGCTGATTGTTCTGTTGTTATTAAACACACTGGAGGTACCGCTGTTTGGCAAGGTGGAGTCCTGCGATTCCTCATTCTTGTCCTTTTCCCATGCATCCCTTCTGCCGCTGTTGCAGCTGCTGCTTCTGGGTTTGCTGCACGTGCTGCTGCTGGCACTGCTGCTGCTGTTATTGTTGCGCACAGTAGCAGACTCGTTGTCGTCTGCGCCCCCTCGTCTAAAGAGGCTAAGGAATCTGTCTGCTCCCTTCGCAAGTTTGATTTGTCCTTGTTCATTTCTCTCTCTCCTGCTTCTTGTAACTTCCCTCCTCTTACGGAAACGGCGGGGGGCCCCTGTGGCCTCCAGAGTGCCAAGAGAAGCATACATGCTGGCATTGCGCACTGGGGCACTCCAAGGCCTCACTTCTCCCTTCACCCCGCCTCCTACCTCCACGCAAGACAAACCTCCCGATCCACCTCGACGAAATGGCAACGAACCACCTGCAGGTGCTGCTGCCGCAGGTATTCCCGCTGCTGGAGCTGCAATAGGCGCAGCACCACCCTGAAATGAAGAGGAAACCACCGGCTGTGTGTGCACAGTGGTTCCTGTTGCTGCTCCCTCTGATGCTGCTGGTGCATCTCCTTCGATAGCTGTACTTCCTTCTGCTGGTGCAGCTCCTCCTGCTGCGGTAGCTCCTTCTGCTGCCGTCCCTCTATCGGATTCTCCAGATTTCGCGGGTTGAAAAGCGGAAAAGAAAAACGAAAAAAAGGAACGCGAAGGCCGGGGGGTAGCCGAGTCAGTCTGCTGTTCCTGCTGCTGCTGCTCCTTGCTGTCTGCAGCGGCAGCAGGTGGATCTTGTGAGGATTCCTCGCCACCCTGGGCAGTTTGTGATTCCCCACTTTCTTCCTTAGCTTCACTTTCAGCAGCAGGAGCTGCTGCTGCTGCTTCCGCACTACCTGAAGCAATGTCAGCATCAGCAATGGAGCATTCTTTTGTAGTGAATTACTTGGGCAGCAAAGCCAGCTAAAGGTACATGAGATTGCTCAATTTGTGTGCAGAGCTATTTGCACCGTTTCCGGTCTGTGTATTTGCTATTTGTGTATATGTTTGGCTTCCTGCTCTGTGCCATTTGTTTTGTAGTGTTAAGCGCCCACCTGCTTCTTCTTTTCCTACAGCGGGTGCAGCAGCGCATGCAATGGCTGAGGGCTCCACAGAGTTTACAGCAGAACTGCTGCCGCTATTGTTGTTGCTGGTGCTGTTGCTGCAGGTTTTGCTGCTGGTGCTGTTATTTCTGCTGCTTCCACTTCTGCTGCTTCCACTTCTGCTCCCGCTGCTTTGGCGTTTGCTTCTGCTGCGTTGGGTGCTACCGTTGCTGCCTTTACCTGCACTGCTGCTGCTGCTTCTGCTGCTGCTGTTGGAAGGGCGACGTTCGTGATGGGCTGAGGCAAAGGAGGAAGAGGGCCCGGACTTCTGTTCGATAGTCGCAACCCCTTCAGGAGGCAAAACAAACAAATTAAAGGCAAAATATGATTGTCTGCGAACCCCCCCAGCAATAACAAAACACCAGTAGCAGCAGCAGGAGTGCCAATAGCAGCAGCGGAAAGAGCAGCAGAAGTGTCCATTTCGAGGACAGTCGAGAAACCAGAGACAAAGCAAAGCTATACAAACAAATATGCACTCATCACGACCAAAATGCACAGTATATATATATATATATATATATATATATATATATA